TTACCTCAAATTGCTGCCTAGGAGCTTTAGATTGTGTAAATGTGCATAGTCCCATTTTATTCTCCTAGTCACCTTCTTAGGTTGGGCTGGGAGAGCATGTGTGTTGACTGGCCAGGGATTGGTACACAATTATGATCTTTACCAACTGCAGTTCTGGGCCATCGAGGGCTGCTGCCACATTGCAGAAATAAAGTAGTTGGACACCACTTTAGTTGCCATGATATGGTTCAATGCTATGGGATTCTGGGGTCTGTAATTTTGTATGCTCTCAGCTTCAGGGGAAGGCAATGACAACCTACTGTGAACAAATCTTGCCAAGAAAACCCTATGATAGGTTTGCCTTAGCGTTGGCATAAGTCAGAAATGACTTGAAGGCACACGACAACAACACCAAGATATTTAGCCTTCTCTGACAGAGAGCTCTGGTGACCCACCAAGCTACAAATCCCAGAATTCCATAGCATTGAGCCATGGAAGTTAAAGTGTTGTCCAACTGCTTTATTTCTGCATTGTGACAGCAGCCTGTGTCAGTACTAACAAGAATAAACCCACTAATGCAATGAAATTCCTGTAAGTATTGATTTACCAATTTCCATTAATTGAACAAGTCTGTTTTATTAGGAAGTAGCAATTAGATTTTTTTGGAATTCATATGTTCAGGGTGAGAAGCTTTCATCTGACATTTGTCTTGCTGAAATAAATGAGATATGTGTTTTGGATTGGTGAACAAGTAGATTTACATAAAGGTCACCACTTTAGCTTTGGTGAGTTGTCGCTCAGGGTGTTTGAGGGCTTCAGGATGTGTGGTTGAAATCCAGCAACAGTGGCACAAGGATCAAGAGCAATACCCCAGGGGAAAATCTCCTTTGAATCCAAAATGGATTGTAAAGAAGTGTTTCAGCAAAGATCCCACAGGCTGCAATTCCCTTGAAAAGGTTGACATTGACACTAGATATATTGAGAAAGAATAGGAGCCTCTTGGAAACCATGGTATATAATAAATTTAAATTGTCTCCCCACCAACACACACATTATTAAAGTTGGTTTATTTTTAAACTCCTGTGACACAGTATTTTCCCCCACAGACTGAAGCAAGGAATGTTGGACTCTGTCTTTAATTTCCACATTTAAATGAAATATTTAAATGGGTGGTACATTGATTTTTTTCTTTTCTTGCATCTGTTTACCATTACAGTATTTCCATGTTTTAAAGCAATCACTGTTATGTGAGTCTTGTAGCATATCCTCCAATGGCATAGTTGCTTCATTTCTCCATTTTGGAAAACACAGCAGCAGTCTTATTTTCTTCTATTTTATGTTCACAATTATTGAACTAAAGAGGTGCTGGTGTATGTTTGTATGTTTGTGTCAGTACTGGCTTGCAGGGCAAGTGAACATTTGAGGATTTAAAAAGAAAGAGCTTGAGGCATGGAATAAGGTCAAGAAAGGGTTTCTAGATAATGGCAGTCTTGTAGAAGCTACAAAGAGGGCAATTAGACCAGCATCTTCTGTTGAGCTAAAAGGGCAGGAGAGTGTGAAAGCAAATAGGAAGTGGCATAGGAACAAGCCATATTGGAGAGGACCTGGCTGACAAGAAGGGAGAGCTTTGAATTGTGTGTCTGTCTGTGAGTCTGTGTGTGCAGCTTCAAGTTGCCTGTTGGCTTATGAGAATTTCGTAGGGTTTTCTTAGGCAAGGAATATTCAGAGGTGGTTTTGCCAGATACTTCCTCTGAAATATAGCCTACAGCACTTGGTATTTGTTGGTGGTCTCTCATCCAAGAACTAACCAAGGCTGACACCACTTAGCTTCCAAGGTCAGGGTGGATCTGGTGCCTTAAGGTGTTTAGGTAAATAGAATTGACACAGGAGAAAATTCAGGGGTAATTGTGTTGGCCATTTAGCAAATTCAAACAAAAATCCATCAGTGATACCTTTATTGGACAACCAAAATGCACAATATACCGTACTTGTTGCAAGCTTTCAAGGTCTCCAAAGACAAATCTGAGGAGTTTGATAGTTCAGAGCAGTTGATAGATATCTGCAACTTGATATCCAGGGGAATGAAAATTTGAATTACCCCGGTCCCATTTGAGTGAGTATATTAAAAAATCAGTTTGGATCCTTGTTAGGCAGCTGAGCTGGATTTTAAACTGCACACTTTCTTAGCAAGACTTAAGCCAGCTTGTAGAGTGTCTGATAACCTGGATCTTCAGATTAGTGGATGTGCGGCACTCATTTTCTCCACTCATCTTCTGCTCCACCATGTGAATGTATGTGACATATGAACTGTTTCCATTGCAGAAGTGCCTGATCACGTTGAAAACTTATTCCTAAGAAGAACCATAAAATCCAATAGCATCAATTGAACAACATGCTGCTACTCCCTGATGTGAAGGCCCCAGGTAATATCTAAATTGGTGAAGAAGCAAGTGTTTTTGGGGCCTTTTTGCAGGATCCCTTTATAGCACAAGAAGTGTACAGCTGTTTTTCTAGAGGATTTTTCCACACATGTGTATGTGCTGCTGTAGTAACAATTTCATATTCTGCCAGTACTGTACATCTGGACCTGACACCCTTTCATGGCCATCAGACACCATCTTGTTGTTACTGTTAGAATTGACTTTGATCCTTGGAATGAAATATCTCCATGACCCCCAATTCTCAACTTCTTAGCTCAGATCCTGAAGGTTCAGGTCTATGACCTCCCTGATTGTGTCTATCCATCTGGCATGCAGTCTTCCTCTCTTTCTACTGCCCTCTCCCTTTCCCTCTACCTTCTAATGAGTCATGCATTCTCACAATGTGGCTGAAGTACAACAGCCTCAGTTTAGTCATCTTGGCTTCCAGGGTGAGTTCAGGCTTGATTTGTTTTAAACTGTTTTTAAATTTGACGTTGTTTAATAAGTTTTTAAGGGTGGGAGGGTTGGGGTTTAGGGTTGATTTTACTGTATTGTATTTTTATGTTGTAAGCCACCTTGATTGCTACGCAGAAGGACGGGGTATAAATAAATTTTATTATTATTATTATTATTATTATTATTATTAGGATCCATTTGTTTGCCTTTTTGGCTGTCCATGGGATCCTCAGCACTCTTCTCCAGCACCACATCTCAAATCAGTTGATTTTCTTCCTATCCACTTTCTTCACTGTCCAGCTCTCATATCTGTATGTGCTGACAGGGAATACAATTGATTGGATAATTCTGACTTTAATGTTCAGTTGAATATCTTTACATAATTTTTAATCTTGTCTTGTTCTTTCATAGCTGCCCTTCCCATTCCTAGTCTTCTTATTTCTCGACTGCAGTCTCCTTCTGATCAATGTTTGATCCAAGCAATGGGAAATCTTTAACTATTTCAATTTCCTCATTATCTAAGTTGGATTTATGTACATTCTCTATGGTCATTATTTTTGTTTTCTTTAAGTTCAGCATTAAGCCTACCTTTGCACTTTCTTCTTTGATTTTCTTTAGTAATTGTTCCAAGTTTATTTCTGTTAGTGGTAGAGTGTCATCTGCATATTTTAGATCAGGGGTAGGCAACCTAAGGCCGTATGTGCCCCCCCTGAGGCCTTTGGACTGGCCCCAGGCCGGTCGTGCCGCTGCCCCCTGTTGCCCCCGCCGTCTGCCATGATGATATTGATTATTGTTGTTATTACTTGTTCCTGGGGTTTTCTTGGCAAAATCTCCACAGGGGTTTTGCCATGGCTTTTCTGGGGCTGAGAGAGTGTGCATGCATATTTATTTTTATTTATTATTTATTATTTTTATTTATTTATTTATTTATTTTTGGTGCTCCGGCTCCCCCAATTGTCTGAGGGACAGCAACCCGGCCCCCAGCTCAAAAAGGTTGCCTACCCCTGTCTTAGATTGTTGGTGTTCCTTCCTCCTATCCTCACTCCTCCTTCTACCAGTTCCAGTCATGATCTTCGTATGATATTTTCTGCATACAAGTTCAACAGCTTGGGTGATAAAATGCATCCTTGCCTTACCCCTTTGCCAATTGTGAACCGTTCTGTTTCTCCATATTCTGTTCTTACAGTAGCCTGTATAAACCTCCTTTATACACTTTAAAATGCCAGAAGCCTTGTCTTGCTTTGCATTTTGTACACTCCAGTGGGCTGAACAAATTTGGGGCACAGACATTTCCAAGGAGAAGACAGTTTGCTAACCTTAGTGGGAAAGAGATTTGAGATTTGAGGCCTATAGAAATTCTCAGGCTCTGTAATTTAGGAAGTATGGGTATATGGACATCTTTATTGTGAAAGATAGAAATCAGCCTCTCTATGAACTGCTACTGCAGGGATATCTTTACAAGACAAGTGGAATAATGCAGCCTTCCACATGTTGTTGCACTGCAAGCCCCAGCAGCCCTAACCCAAGATAAAAGATGCAAGGAGTTGTAGTCCAATAAAGTCTGGAAGGTGGCAGTATTTCCAGCACTGAGAACTTGAATAGACTTACTGAATCAAGTGCTATTGAATCAAGGAGGCTTCAGGTGCTGTGGCCATGAAGAAATAAGGCATTCAGAAATATGTGGCTTGGAACTCACCAAGTCTGTCTCCATTCCTTTGCCACCACTGTGGAAGCCTGCAAAAAGTGCAGCCATTAGCATAATGCACCGGTGGCCTTAGTGTCTTAGAGGCAGGGCTTAGAAAAGTTACTCATTTGGAATAGCACACTTAGTTGCCATGTTGGCTGGGGGATTCTGGGAATTGTAGACCAAAAGGCAACTTCTCTAAAGCTTGGGTTATAAGATAGGATAATGAAATGGGGGTCTCCAGCCTATGGGGCTCTTTTTCAGAACTGTGCTCCTGTGCCTCTCAGAGGACTTGAGTTTTGGAATGAATTGCTGTAGTTCAGGTGAAGCACAGAACAGTTTAGGAAGGTGTAAAGAACAGCTGCCTCATAGTCTGGATCAGTTTGCTCATGTTTCAGAGCAAGCAAGAAGAAATACATTTGTAATGTTGTTCGTGACCAGCCAAAATAACACTGGTCAGAGCCAGTGTGGCCTAGTGGTTTACGCAGTGGACTGTGACTCTAGAGACCAGGATTTGAATCCCAGCTTGGCCAGTTTGATAACTGGGTAACCTTGGGGAAGTCACATTCTCTTTCAATCTCAGAGGATGGCAATGTCAAACCCCCTATGATGAGACATGACAAAAAACAAACAAAACAAACCATTATAGGTTCACCTTAGGGTTGTCATAAGCTGGAAATAACTTGAAGGCACACACACAACAACAAAAATCCTATGGATAATTCCAACTAAAGTAGACCAATTGTTGCAATGGGTGTACTCAGTGTGTGTATTTTAGCTAATTAGCAGTAGCAATAGTATTCAGGCCATTGGCCTGGCTTACTTTAGAATAGTTAGAATCTGACTCAGCCCCCAAGATGTACACCCCCATGGCTTCATGGGGACCATGGAGACCTTTTGGTTACTGATAACAAGTAATTGACACATTTCCTCCTCTAGCCAACCCAACTTCTTGTGCCATGCTACTCCTTGTGACTTTTGAATAACATATTTAAAGAAAAGTGCATTATAACTGCTTTAAGTATATTTATTCCCCATCCCTATTTTTCCCCCCAAGAGGGTAGAAGCCAGTGCAAGTCAGTCTTTCCCACTTTATTCTCAAAACAGTCCTATGACTGAGAGATACTCATATTAACTTGCCCAGGATCTACCAGTAAACTCTGTGGTTAATGGGACTAGGGACTGGAGTCCTTCCAGGCCAGCCTTGCTACTCCTGTTCTCACTACTAATCCACACTGTCTTCCTTCTCATGCAATCTCCAGCCCTGGAGCATGTGTTTAATTTCATTTCATGTTTTTCAAAGAAAAAGAAAAGTAAAAGACTATCTCATCAACACTTTTCTTCTGTGTTCTTCTCATTGTTCAAAGCTGGACTGGAAGAAAGTACTTTGTTGTTGTTGTCCTTGTTGCTTACCTTCAAGTATGGCAACCCTAAGGTGAACCTATCATGGTGTTTTCTTGGCAAGGTTTGTTCAGAGAAACTTTGCCATTACCTTTGGATGAGGCTGAGACAGTGTGACTAGTTCACCCAGCGGGTTTCATGGTTAAGAAGGGAATCGAACCCAGTTCTCCAGAACTGTAGTCCAGCACTCAAACCATTACACCACACTGACTGCAACTGCTCCTCTTAGCACAGCAAATACATTCCACCACTTTGTTCTGTTCTGTGTGGAAATTATTTAGTATTTCTTCCCCCCCCACTAAACTCAAAACCAATATGGCCAGTCTCTCTCTTGTTTATAGTCCTTTAAGCATTGTTTTGTTTATTAACAAAAAGAAATATCTGCCTTTAAAGCGGGGGGGGGGGGGGGGGGAGGGTTAAGGAAAAAAGAAAATATTTGGAAACATGTATAGCTGAGGAAGAATAAACATTTTCTAATTCTCACGAGAAGAAGGGGTTTTAGCAGTATTAAAGACATTTATCAGGAACCGACCAAGAGTTCTGGGCTGCTGAGACAGAGCAGCAAATGAACCCCATCCACCACAACCACCCTGTCAAAAGTTGTGGGCCATGGTATCCAAGTGAACTGCATTATTTTGGTAGTAAAGGCACAAATCCCTTTCCACAGATTTACCCTGCTAGTAAGAATATGACAACAATAAATTCTAACAATTTGCTGCCTTTTCATGACACCAGAACTTTGCTGCCTGGTTAGCCACTTCTCTCCGCCTAATGGTAGGAATGATGCTGGTATTCGAAAAGGATCTGGTCAAAGAGACAGCCATTTCATATATTATATAGCAACAAATTTGACATTGCCGCTAACTTCACACTCAGTAGTGGACTTTAATAATAGCAGCAAAGAGCAATTTCTCCCTACCCCCAACATCTAAACAATTACACAAAGGATGAAGGTGCCAGTGTCATTGGTTCATAATTTGACAACGAAGCTTGATTTAGAACTTGAGGTTTACATGATTCAGATTCCCTTACTGCAGGAACAAGTCTATCAGCTTCTGGCCCAAGAAACACGTGTGCACCATCCTAGCTAGCCCCTTCTGGCAGCATGCTTGGTTCAGTGACCATGCACCTATTATCTCTCCACCCACAGCTGTCCTGGATCCCTCTCCAAGACAGATCAAACCCAAAGACTGGAAGCAAATGCTCCAGCAAGCAGAGTTCACTGAAGAAGCATTTTGACACAGAATTTACTGGCATGCCATAGAAACTGGCTGCCACCAAACTCTGACCTCTTTCCTCACAGTCATTCCACCCACAAGCATGCAGAAAATGAAATTCAGGGCTTGGGGGTGAAGCCTGTAGGGAGACTGCAAGGTCTTTGGGGCATGAACCAGAAGAATGTGCACTACCTTTGTGGTCAGTGACAAGGATGACAAGTGCCATGATGAATGATGAAGATGTTGACAAAGGGCAGAAACAATCTGGACAAATCAGAGGAGCATCCTATGCCATCCTAGACACTGTTATCTCTCTCTCTCTCTCTCTCTCTCTCTCACACACACACACACACACTTGCCATAATATTCAGACATATTTCTGTTTTATTAGTTTCTCTCTTTGACACATCCCCCCGAAACAAAAATATCACAAGATTTCTTTCATTAAGGGACACATAATTATAAAAATAGAAAAAAACCACACATTGACATTTCTGGAAACAGTATAGCAATTATCAGGGAAATGCCATGATGTCCAAGGAGCTGCGATATTGAACTTGAAATCACTTGTAAATGGAGACCCATATAAATCCTTTCCATAGAAGTACCCTAACCTGTTCAGATTTCATTTGGTTCAGTCAGCACAGTTTTCTTCAGGTAAAAGCACTGTTCTCCACACATATTTTGAGTGGAAATTTGTAGTCTTAAGTCTTTGTAAACAGTTTGTTTCTTGCTTGGCGTATTTGGTTGTGATTCACTGCACTGTAGATCTTTGCAGGTCTTTCAGATACATATTTCACTCAAGGCTATGTATTCCAAAAGTACAATGAGGGGATTTAATGCAGAAAGGGGTTAAAATGCTGTAAAAATGCTGTAGCTCGGGCTTGTGACAAAATATTTAAAAAATACTGATACTGAAAGATACCTAATAGTGCACATTGAAAGCATTGTGGATTTTGGCATAGTTGCCAAAGCAAGAATTTAAAGGACTTGATTCAACCAACATTAAGCATTTTTCCATTTGATTGCTACCACAAAGAGAACGTTAAGCTTTTGTAAGAAACAAAAAGAATTGAAAATGTGCTTATTATTGGCTGGATTCTGCTCCATTTTGTAATTCTTTTTGGCACTGAATCTACCCAGCCATGCTTCTTTCCTGGCCAGAAGAAAAGTAATACCTTATTTTCCTGCGTATAAGACTACTTTTTAACCTGCAAAGTCCGTTGTTAAAGTGGGGGGGTCGTCTTATACGCCAGGTATAAGGATACGGAGGATAGAGGTGCTAAAACTCTATATTTTGACTGGAAAAATGTTGGGTCGTCTTATATGCTGGGTCGTCTTATACGCCGGAAAATACGGTAGTATGTTGCAGAACTTTATCAAACTGTTATATACTGTATTGTTCCCTGCTCCAGTCCTATAATATCCCAATTCAAGGAATATAACACCCTGATTGTAAAGTCTGAAACATACTTGTAAAACCCTCTTAAAATGTTACTTTATGCTGTATATTTGTGCATATTTTCTTCCTTACTTTATAAGGATGGTGCTGGGAATTCTGCTTTCTCTTGATTTTAACTCAGCTTTCTGAACAATTTTTAATCACCAAAAAAATAAAAATAAAAATAAAATACCGGTACATTGGTGGTGTTGAAGAGAGTAAAATAGAAGGAGAATGAAAGAAAATTAGGAAGGCCTTGGAAACAATACTTTTTGGTCATATAGTTGGGAGTGAGTTCTGTGAGTTGTAATCCAAAACAGTAACTTTTCTAAGATCTGGGATTAGGTTACAATTCAGCCAAAGCTACATACATTTAAGCCCCATAGATCCCTACAGAAGTACCTACCAAGTAGCTTCTGAATTTTTCTCTTGCAATTATAAGTTATGCGATGTCTCAACAAAATACAATAAAACATATTGTAAATGCAGCTTTTCCACTGTAAATTGCTATGGTAAACAGCAAAAAGAGAGAGAGAGAAAGAAAGAAAAATTAAGAGCATTAAGAAGCTTGATTAGATGAAGAGTCCAGGATCCTTCCCCCGTCCTCCCACAATTGACCTGCCAAATGCTTTCAGAATCTGATAAACAGAAAATGAATGAAGCAGCCCACACCAGTTGTTTGCCTCTCAATTGGTATTCAGTGGTATACTGTTTCCAAACATAGAAGCTCCCTTTAATAATCATAGTAAATGAACTGAATCCTGTTAACCCCAACTAAAGTAGACCAAATGAATCCATTGTTGAAAAGTGCACCAACACACAGGTAGAACCCATTGATTCAATAGGTCTACTCTAGTTCAGAGTAACAATAGGCTTCAAACCAATCACAGAGCCTGATCTTTGGTGGATGTGTCTCAATACCCTGCTGTGGTAACCATTTTAATTACCCACTGGGTGAAGAATTGCCTGCCTTCTTTTGCTTGCCTTAACTCTACCATCAATCATTTCCATGGGATTATCTCAAACTCCAGTTTAGCAAAGGGAGAGAATTACTTTTCACGCCTCTTTCCATAGTCTCTATTTAATCTGTTAATAATTTTACAGACACCTATGCTGGATCTGCACTGCAGAAACAATGCAGTTTGACAGCGCTTTAACTACCATGGCTCAAAGCTATGGAATTCTGGGATTTATAGTTTTGTGAGATATTTAGCCTTCTTTGTCAGAGAGCTCTAGTGCCCCAACAAACTACAAATCCCAGGATTCCATACCATTGAGCCATGGCAGGTAAAGTGCTGACAAGCTGCATTATTTCAGTAGTGCAGGTACAGTCTAAGAGAAAATAGTTTACTTAAGGTGACCTCCTGAATTCAAAACAAGGTAAGATATCCTCCTGGGACATCAGAACTGGGCAGACTTCAGTCAAGTCAGGATCTACTTACAGTTATTATGTTTGCTAAGAAATCTGAAGTCA